TTATATCAGCTGCCATACACAGTTTCAAACCACTTAGCATTTCATGTAAGAAAAGTCCTTTCTTTGCAAATAGAATAGCAGGTAATCATCAAGCCAAGTAAGCCATTTTGACCATTCTGTGGTCCACACTTGCTCAAGTATTAGGATCATTACACTAGTAGCTGTACTGATACTGGTGCATATTCTAGACTCTCAGAATTAATGCTGGGATCATCAGGGAAGCATCAGCTTTTCCTGCTTCTGAAAGGCAATTTGTACCTGGCCTGTCATTAAAAAAAATGCAGCTTTTTGTTCCTAATTAACCCAGAGAAGTCAATTCCATTTGTCTACTAAAGGAATAAAATGGATTTCCATTATTATGGTTAAAGCAGGTTTGCTTTGATATTTATAAATATCAAAGCTTCTAAAGGAAGCTTATTTGATATAGATATATGGGTGTGTGTACTCAGGCTACTGGCAAGTTATTAATACAAAGCTTTGGGTTTCAAAATCTCTGATCTAAACCAGGATGTCTCTATATTGTGTAAGAAATAATTTGTGTTCTCATTAAGAAATTCTATGTTAAGATGCTATCCAGCTTTATTTTAAAGCATTTATACGAAAGACCTTAGCAGTTCATTAACAGAAATAACTGTATCCATGTGGAAAATAAAATTAAGTGAAAGTCTAAAAATATTATTAACAAACAGCTTAATATGTTTGAAGCAGTGCAGTAGGGACTTACGGCTTTCGTGTTGAAAAATATAAGCTTTTATTGTAACCTTACCATAATAAGAATATCAGACAGAATTCTGAAGAGCAATATGTGAAAATAGATGGCCATCAAATGAAGAGATAAGGTCTTCTAGGGCGACTTTTCCAGTCTTTTTGCTTCCAAAAAATGTTTTATTTATTTATTTATATTTCTTCTCACCATTTTCCTGAGCTTAATAAGAACCAGTTACTCTCCAGTGCTCCTGAAAACCTAGTCTTATTGAATAAAATGATTAAGTTAATGGATGTCATATAAGATATTTTCATTCACTAACTCCAATAGAAATCCAGGGCGATAATCTCAGAACGGAATAAGCTATGTGGAAGCAAAACACGATGGAGAGTAAGCTGTGTCATCTACCATACAAGCCTTTTAGTATGTATAGGAAAGAAAATGGTCATGAAAAAGCATCATGTGAGATTCACAGTTTGAAATGTCATGGGAGATGGATTGTCATGAGAGGGTGGAAAAGAGGAGATTGCCTTCTATTTACATTTACTTTGTAAAAGTCTTTAAGCATTACTGATTGATCTGTCTCTGTATCTTCATGGATGGGTCTTCAGCAAATAGATGCATAGATGCACATATGTATAAATATATATATATACATGTAAGTATATACATACACATGGCAGTATAGGGATGCGTGTATATAGACTCTATATAGTTAGGAGAGCGAAGGAAAGTGCGAGTTTTGGAAATTTACGTTTGAACGATTTACATGATTCTCTATCCAAAGTGAGGGAAATAAATGCAGCCAGATTGTAAGTAATCAGAGTGGAATTCAGCTAGCGTAACAAATACCTTGGAAACTGGTTTTATTCCTGGTTTATTTTTGATTTCAGATAAGAGTTTAAAACCTGTCTATATACACATACTTCCTTCAGGATGGATTCACAGTTTGTAGGATTTGTCATGGGCTGGAGTGCTGTTTGTGGATATACATATCAAAATCTAATCCAGGGCGAACACCTGTGGTGCCAACACTTTGTTAGCAATTTAGAGAAACAGAGATTGCTATGTAAGAGTACATAAATAGTCTAGACTTTTGCTATGATGTTTCTGACACATTTATTACGAGGCTGGTGTTGAAAAATGGGCTCACAGGGACTTTTCCTTTTAAATTCCTAGTAGTTAAAGGCTGTGCCCTCAAGTGTTTCACATAACAGGACTCCTGAATTTCTTTTTTCCTTTCCTGCTTACTGCTTATTTTCATAGCTAATGTGGAGAGGAGGGTAGTAGTAGATGTCCCTTCCCTCTGCTCAAGCTCTCGAGGTCTGTGCTGTTCTGTGTTATCATTTACAGAAGGTTCAAGTATTTTGGCACAGTGGGAGGCTGAACAAAAGTTCACCCTGATGAACCTTTACACTACTCATTGCTTGTGTGTGTTAATTATATCTGTCCTCCCTTGTGTCAATAGCCTTCCCATTTTCCCATGTTTCTGCAATAATGCTAGGACATTAATTCATTCAGACATGAGGAAAAGAGTGCCACCCACCAATATTAAGCTTTTTGTTCCATAGCCCTGACTCTGGGAGGTGTGCTGATCCTTCCGGAGGTGGTGTTCATTCTAATGGTGTTTTCTCAATGCCTGTATGTATGGTCCCTGCAGTTTTGGTATGTTTCCATAACACAAAATATTCGAGGGTATTTTATTTCTCTGGTTGTTGTTAATGTGCACCTGGATCTCACCAGTCACTAGTCACAGTTCTACTGATGCTGCTTGCTTTTTTCTTTTTTTTCTTTTTTTTTTTTTAAATTCTTTAAAAGTGTTTTTTCTGTTGTTTTGCTAACTTATGCCTCAAAAAGATACTGTACATTTTTGTTGAATTTTTTTGTTTGTTTTTTGGAAGACTTGAGGATATGCAGCAATTATTCCATGCTTTTTTTCCCCTTTTCCTTTAATCAGATTGATGTTTATTTTTAATTCAATACTAAGTGCTTAGTCACTGTAGCTTCTAGCATATGACTTCACATTTCTCAATCTTAAACAAACACCAAGTTATAATAAATTAAAAGATTTGTTCCTTCCAGAGAGGGAGAGGGAAGCTATAATGGATGTGTAACAATAACAAAGTTGTGCCAAATGCATTGGAATAATAAACAGAGCAAGCAGGCTTTTTCTCCCCATGGCCTAGTTAATAAACAAGACAATAATTCACTTATGTATATGCCTCTTTGTTTCCATTAGGTTCTAGTTACTGAGAGTTTGGGATATCAGTCTGTTTAGCTTTCTACCACACTTCAAAGCTAGCAAAAGTTTCCAAATGCAGGCACCGACACCCACAAATTTTGCAAGGATTCAAATCTGAAAGGAGATCTAAACTCAGTAACTTTGATCTTTTTTTTCCTTTTTCTTTTTTCTTTTTTCTTCCAACCCGGCTTTTCTACATTTGCCATAAAAAGCTTGACTCGATACCACTGTCACTTAGGAATGGAAAAATATGTTTCTCTGCAAGCAGGTTAAAGTATTTAAGATTCCCCTCTATGCTGGATTTGGGGGCACTATGTATTGTAATGCCAGCTGTGTGGTTTGGGGTGTCTCACTATTATCTTACATGGAGATGAAAGGGGATCAGATAAGAGGACATGTAATTATATTCACTTAAGTGAATCATTCTTTCTCAGACATTTGCAAAGCACAAAGCTGTACTGAACAAGTTCTAGAAGGGGTGAAAACTTAATCAAAAGCAACCCATTTTTTACCTAAATATAGCTGTGATATAGTGTTAAGATATTGGATGACTTTTTCTCTCTGTTATTGGAAAATACGTGCATGTTTGACTCTGCAAAGCTCAATGGTATGGTAATTACAATGGTGCCTTGCTCCCAGTACTGCCATTACATTATTCAGTGAAAGCTCTGAGAGTAGAGAAGCTTCCACCTTCTTGTTTCATTATGTCTATTTAGAACTGGCACATTGCACATGCCCTTGCATTGCCTGCAGTGTAACTGTTGGGCTCTACCCTAATATGATTGCTTCAGAAAGAGATATTTTAAGTTATAATAGTTATTAAGAATTTCTCTTTTTTATTATGTAGGTGGTGATAGTAAGTGTCCAGCTCTTTTAAAAAATATTTATTTTCTTTAAATTCAAAAAAGAAAATAGTATTCTTTTTCCATGAAATCCAAATCTTATGGCATATTGTTTTTCACTTCATGGGTTAATAAGAATGATCTGCGCAGAAAGACAAAAAAAAAAAATCCAAGCTGAGAAAACTTTTGAGGAGAGTTTGGAGTTAAGTCCAAATTTTGGAGTTAGTCTAGGAACTATAGTCTAAGAAAGCTGTAGCTGAAAGACTTTCCATGCAACTTCTTTCTCATTTATAACAGAGGAGCTGTGGAATCATGGATGATTCAAGACTCTACTGATGCAGTCTGAGAAATAATTTCTTATTAGTCAAATGACATCTGATAATTTGCAGTGTAAGCTTCTAGGCCTCAAATCAGTACTGAATGAACAAGTTGTTGTTTCTGTGTCCATCTTTTGCTTGAACAGTTGAAATTGTTAACAGAAGAAGTGATGGCGGTGGTGGTGGTGCTCATACATGTGACCAAGTCTGCTCACTCGGAACAGAAGCTTAAGCTGCTTCTGGCCTAAATTCATATTTTAACTGGAAGTGAGAAGCTACATGTCCCTGGCAGTAACCTGTGGTCTATCGGGTCCTAAGCGAACCCTTCTGAGGGTTTTTGGAAGGAACACTATTTGTAAGCAGCTATTCAAGCAGCTCCTGCCAGATGACTTAAAGCTGCTGTTTCGAAGCCATAGCCCAGCAGGTCAGATAGGTGTTGCAAGAGATGCAACTTCCTATCTGTTTCCCATCCTCAGTGCAGCGGACAGGAACCTCTTCTGATTCCTTCTTGAAGGATAACAATGATAAAGCTGCACTGCGACACAAGTGCCATGCAGTGGGGTTGCTTGTCACTTGAAATTTAACTGTCTAGTTATTGCACTTAGGATTCAGGACCCGTATGTGGACTGTGTTTTCCTGAGCCAGGATTCAGCTGGCTTACTTGTGGCTTTCTGCAATGCCGGAAAGCATCCTGTGATGATATGTAGTGTTTGAAATGCAAGCAGGATTAGTGGTGGGTGGTGGGTTTTTTTGGGGGGGGGAAGAAAATGACAGCTGAAATGAAAAGAATTCTATTCTATGATTTATTTTACCTGTCCTTTTTTTATGAGTAAAAGCATAAAAGTTTCATTCTAACTCTGTTAAATAATTGCTTTTTTTCTTTTCTTTTGTAGGTTGTATTAGTCTTCGCTCTTAGTATTGGTGCTCTTGTAATATACTTCATAGATTCGTCAAAGTGAGTATTCTGATACTTTTTTCCTTTCCCTCCTTTGCCATAGCAATTATAGATCTTTAAATTGCTCCATTCATCAACTTCAACTCGGTGCTTTATCCTCATCGCCTGAGTTTGAAGAACTTAATATTATTGTATAGTCTTTCAAAATAATTTAGGTATGGGGGGAAAAAAAAAAACTTGCATTAACTAGATTGAACTCGGTCAGCTTGGATCTGCAGAAGGAGAGAGAAAAGCAGTACTTCTGCATACACAGATGGTTGCAAAATACTATTTTTTCATTTCAGTATGCATAAGTAGAATTAAGACTACAATAAGAAATACAAGAGAAGGATATTTGTCAAAAAATGCAGTTTGCAAAGGAAATAACTTTGTGTCTCAGAAAACCTCTGAAATGGTTCTGAAAACAAACAACAAAAATGATCAATGAAATAGTCAATATATGTATGTAGTATACTGACTCAAATTTCCAGCTCCTGGGCTTGATAAATTACGCCTAAATGAAGGTTAGCCTATAAAAATCAGAGAAACATCTTTTCTCTTTACTACAACAGTTAATATGCAGCAGGAGGCTGAGGCTGCTCCTTCCAAGCTAGCAGAGCTGTCTGGAACAGCAGTGACTGTGTTGTGAAATCACACTTGTGTTGCTCAGCAAATAAGTCATTTTGCTTGTGACATCTGTAGTTATTGATGGCCAGGCAGGTGATGGCACCAGCGAAAGTGTTCTCAGAAACGTGGATGTGAGCCCTTTCCTGTGCGAATTTCAAGCCCTGCTGCTCTTGTAGTCAAGGTGTCTGGAGCATAACACAAGTGTCTTGAAGTGGAGGTTTCCTTTGTAGAGAGGTACTTAGCAGTGGGAAAGCTCAGGCTCTATCTTGAGCTACCCTTGTAGGGTATCTTTCCCCAGCTGCTGCTGCTTAGCATCGTGTGGAGAGTTCATGTTCACTTTAGCCAATTTTTAGTTAATCTTTATGAAAACTCTAGAAGTGACAATGACACTAGTCCATGCCCAATGTGCCCAAGTCAAAAGAAGTCAAATCTGTTTCTGTTTTGGTCTCAGACTACTGAAATCCATAAATCGCTTTCTGGGGGCAATTGTCTGCAGTGAAGCTAATTTAGCCTTTAATGGTTTTAAGACACTGCACTCTGGAATACTTTGTTTTCCTTAAGAACAGCCACACTGAGAAAATTTTGGGGATGGGAGCAGATTTCTGTAGGATGCTTGAACTTTCTGTGGGTCACCTAATCTGTATGCTGCTTGTACTTATTTGCGGCTCACTTAATGTGGATAGAAAAGCATTTTATTTGTAGGTTTTAATAGCTTTTGAGCCAATATTTAATCCACTGCTACAGTTTACATTCAGCAACCTCAGGTTAATATACTAGCACATATTTTCTTCCTCTACCTTTCTTTCCATAGACACTTTTCTTTAACAAAGACTTTTAACAAAATACAGAATACTTTTGCTTTATCTAGTATTAGCACTTGATCTGATAACCATTACAGCAATGCAGAAAATAAAAGGGGCGATATATCAGTCTTATTGAAGATCTCTAAATGTGTGATTAGTGAAATTAATTCCCTTTTAGTATGAAAACTTCACTTCCATGTACATATAATGAAAAGCTCAAGTAAAATATCAGATATATAGTACTTTTTAGTTTATAGTTAGAAATTTTGTATCAGCTATAATCTATCTGGAATGTAGAGGCTAATACATACTGTGAGAACTGTCAAAACAAATATATGAAAGAAATTATAGCATGAAAATGGGTCTTCATATTTAGATTTTGCTCCTGTAAATAATGAGTAGATTAGTTATACAAACAATAAGTGTGGGGATAACCATGTTTTTTTTATTTTTAATAACATGCATCTTTACAAAAATGGGATTATTCTGATTTGCAGGGGTTTTATGTGTGCTTCATTCTCACTGTCTTTCTGCAAATTAAAAAATGTACTGCAGATCACTTCAACATCAGATCTACTGCATATTTTCCTCACGTACACTGCAACTTTTTTTTTTTGGCATGTGGAGGGCCTTTTGCTGAAAAAGCGAAGTAATTTGAGAGTAAAAAATGATTGAAATGTTGCAAAAGCTTGATTAATTTTATGATGAATGATCTGCAAAGATACAGGAAAATGAATGCTTCTATAGGTCAGTTACTGAAAGTTAAGATATTAGTCATATATATAGTATATATAGTATATATAGTCATATTAGTCATATATATAGTATGCAGCGTGACTAGGTGGGTATGTTTTAGAATGATGGACTTGTCGTTTTCAAAGGCTAGAACAAGACCTATATTAAATTATTTATCTTTAAGAGCACCAGTTACTGTTTTTTCTTCTACATTAAAGCATAACTTACATGGAACCGCAAAAGACTGTTACCACTAAAGAATTGTCGTGAAAATAGTTCTTACGAATCCACTGAAAGGCACAGTACTCTGTGAAGGGTACGAAAAGGGTAAAGAAGGGTATCAAATACCTGTTTTTAAGGTATTAAAACCAGAGTGAGATGTCTCAGAATGTGTATGTCCTTTTTAATGGTAACATTAGCAGTCTCTGTCCATTAACTGCATAGAAAGAAATATCCCTAGAAAAGGCTGCTCAAAAACAAGAAAGGAAGGAAGATGAAGGAAATCTTCCTGGCTTTCCCCAGAATTTCACAGGATGAAAAATTTTCTTGTGTTATCTTGTAAATAAAAACTGAGCCTACTTTTTTCATGATGTGCGAGAGAAATGGCATCCAGCTCCAGCCAGTGTTGGTAGGAGTAGCCCTGAAAGAAGGAAAACCTGGATGTGCACGTTCTTCTGGGGAGTTAGAAGAGTAACCCCCTCAGCATAGCACCTTCTCCCTACCAATTAGTCCTTCACCTGGGCAGAACCAATTAGCTATTGTGCGTTGCCATAAAGCATTTCTGTATTAATTCTGGCACAAATTTGGGCATCTTTACGCCATGCTGAATTGCAAAATGTGAACACTGCTGTGATCAAGTGCTTCTGCATACAACTGAACTGATTTTTCATAGTAAAAGGCCGAAAAAGATAACGGAAAGATTCTGACCAAAACCTAAAGAAATTTCATTCTCAGTGGAAGGAGGGAAGGCTTTTTGTTTTGAAGATTATAAAATGATTATTCCCATAGTATTGAGTAAAATTATTCTGTTGTTTACTCAGTGCTTCCACTTCTTACCTTAAGGAGCCTGAATCATTATCTTCAGGTACAGTAATACATATATATACAGAACACTTTTTAAAAAAAATGAATATGTATACTTTCCATGGTATGTGCTAGCAACTAATTTCAGTCCTTAAGCTGGGAAAGCATTTAGCAGAGAAAATGACTGTCTTGACATACCTAGAGATTTAGTCCTGGTAGGAAATGTTTCACTTATTACTGAGGACTAGACTTCTTTCTTCCTTCCATTATTTGTGGAATTATATTCATAAAATGCTGTTTTCTTGGTCAATGGATTTTTTAAATATTGGAAATAGCGGCTAAATATTGAAAATTTGCCAAAAAATTCTATAAATATTACTCACATAAGTATTTTAATCTTTAGCTAAAGAGCAACCAAATTGCTACATTTTTATTTTTAGATGCTGTTTCACTTTAAATTCTATCTTCTGGTTTCAGTCTGAATTAAACCAGACTTTCAAATAAAAAGGCGTAAGAGGCTGTTCAGAAGATTTTTTTGATTAAGAAAGTTATCTCCTTTGGTACAGAATGGCATCACATATCATAGTGGTGATTCTTTTTTAGTTTGTTTCCTTTAAAAAAATTATCATTGTTATTTCTTCAAAGTAAGAAAAAAATGGAATCATCCGTAATTGCTAGGAGGAAAACCTAATTCCATGAGGAATTAGGTAATTCCAGCGGCCAGAGCTGCAGTAGAATAGAGAGCCAGGCACGTGCCAGCCCTTTGCATTTTTCATGTTTTTTTTTTTTAATGTTTGCACAACTCTCCTTCCTGCCCTGTCTCAGTTCTGTTTATCCTTCTGTTTGTAGCAGCTTTGTACCAAATGCATATGGAAGTACTTTTCTGAGTTTTCACGGCATCAGCACTAAGGATGAATTGTCTGTTTCCGTTTTCATTTGTCATCCTGACCTCTGCATTCCACGCTGCACTGCTGACTCTCATAGAGCACAGAAAAATATTTGCTTGCTGTGGTCATCTTTAGGCATCATTAGTAAAAGCAGTAGCAGAGCTTCAATTAGAGCCAGCTGGTAACTCGGGGCTCCCGCTGTCTCTTGTGGGAGCTGTTCGTGGCACGAAGTCACGTTTCCTGCTCTGGGTCTGGCCTACTGACCTTCCTTTCTAATAACCAGTTATTTCAGCCCCGTCTCTTGAAATGTACCTTGCTTTCATTAAAATCTCAGGTCCACATGGGAATAATAAAGCTGAGCTATGATAAGACGAAAATATAGAAGCCTCACAACTTGCTTTATATATTTCACTTGCGTGTTGGATTTTTTTTTTTTTGGCGATGTTTGTGTTTTCAAAGGCCCCAGTGTAGTTACTATTAAATAGCTAAATTTTCCCAATATTGCGTTGCATAATATACTTGATTAGAATAGGACATAAAAGTGCCATCTGGCAATGAGTGTAAAACAGCTGGATCTAAGAATAACAGTGGAATTGTGAATGGGGAGATTTATACACACAGATCCACAAACATCAATTCAAGCTGAGCCCAGAGGTTGTCGGCAACTGTTGTTTTCTTAATTAGACAGCTTTATTTCTTTTCATATAGGGAAAGCAGAAAAGTTAAACTTATAGGCAATTCTATATTTTTTTAAATATTCAGTTTCTCATTATGTATTTGAGAGAATCTCAAAAATATTTACTGCTTATACATGTTGGTCTGATACGCAGGGAATCTAGATACTGCCTAAATGTAAAGTTGTCATTAACTTTAAGAAAATGTATACCTTAAGAAAAATGCATTTTTCTAGTCATTCTTGCCTTGTTATTTAAATTTAATTTAAAAG